GGGCCCGGGCTCGGCGTTCAGCGTCTTCGTGCTCTTGAGGCTGCTGGAGCCATGCCTGAGGGCAGCCCTGGTCTTCTCCTCCCTGCAGGGCGAGGTGCGGCCATACCCCAGCCCCTCTGAAGGACCTGCAAGACAGACACAGGTCGTAGCCGGTGGCAGGGACAGGCGGACAGCCTGGGCTCCCAGCTTTCCCGCTGCGGAGGGAGCCCACAGAACGGGCCAGAGCCATGACACATCATGCTGGGTCCCCTCACACTGCCCCATCCCCCTGCTCTAAGCAAGGGCAGGGCAGGGCAGCTCTTGGACTGCTGCTCACTGCAGCGCCCCAGGATAGACAAGGTTGGGCCCCCACTGTGCCAGGACTGGGGTCCTCTTAGCACCCAAGACTCTGGAAATATTTTCCAGGGAGGTTTCAAAACCTCAGAGAGGTTTTGCTAATGCAACCAGAGATTCAGCGGTTGCAGCATATAGTTAAGCGAAAAGCAGTAAGGACAGGCTCTCCAATCCTGAAAAAACAAATAAAATTTTAATTCAAATAAAAAGAGGAGGTATTAGATGGAGCTAAAGGGAGCAGTCAATTTGGAAATGACGGACACATTTCTGCTGGCACAAATAAACCTCCTGGGGTGAAAAAAATAACTCCCCGAGGTGGGAAGGGGACATTTTGACAACAAGGTGCCTCCCCAACACAGCCGCCTGCCTGGCACCAGCCCAGCCACAGGCCCCAAAAAAAGCCACGGCACCCCGATCCGTCCCACCCAGCGAGCGGCAGGGCATTAACCGAGACGTGCCCCAGGGAGCCAGCCTCCCGCCGACTGTTATTTCTGTGCGGGATGATTTCAGCATTAACAATACTGTTTCTCCCTCCTCCAGCGAGTTCATTATTGCTCCCCTGCAACACGAGCCCCCTCGCACAAATTACTTATCGATCGGGCAGAGCTGCCTTGACACGAGGCTGCCGGTGGCTGATGCCGCGGAGGCACAGTTGCCCCGGAGGTGGCCAAGCCCGGGACACCCGCGGAGGCACAGTTGCCCCGGAGATGGCCAAGCCTGGGACACGGCAGCTCCCAGGACGAGTGGGATGTCCCAGGCTGGGCAGCTTCCCCGCTTCCCATACTCCCTGGCTGCTGGAGGGGAAGGCAAAAGCAGGGCAATGCTGAGGCCATGCTGCTGCGGGGCAGAGGCAAAAATACCCAGAGAGGGATGTTTTCTCTCTAGCAGGGCATCCCCTAAGGGGGCTATTTGAGGGACACCATGTCTGGGACCTACACAGGCGAGCCGGTCTCCAGCCCCCCCACCACTGGGAAGAAAGGAAGGTAGCCAAAATGAAACCCAACCAAAATCATCTGCAGCTTAGCTTGGCTTAAAACCCCCCTGAGAAAGAGCTTGGGGAGGAGGTGCTCAGTGTTAGGGCTTGACAAGTCCTGCCTCTGCAGCAGTCTGGCTTTGCACCGGCCAGGCTTGCCCTTGAACATAACATCCAGGCTTCAATTTCAGCTCATCACCTTAAAAAAATGGGTTGATCGTTAAAAAGCCAGGCAATCAAAACACCAAAGTGTTTGCTGGCGGCACAAAGTCATAGTGTTAGAGGCTCAGAAGAAATGCATTGCACCTGTCAGAGAAAGGCAGAGGCATATGCATGATTAAACAGGATATTAAAAACAAGCCCCTAGGAGCAAGAAGACATCCTTCCAAGAAGTTCAAGTCACCCCTAGACAGCAGAAGTAGAAAAAGAGACTAAATTCTGGCAAGATAAACTTAACACAACAAAGCAAGTCATGAAAAAAAAGAGACTGTGTTGCTAAAACCAGGAAAAATGACGAACCAACGTGTTCATCAGGAGCAGAATGCATGTCAGAGCGACTGCAAGGATAAAAAAATGATGGGGGAAGAGAAGAGGCTGCATAGCAAAGAAATTAATTTTTCTTGACACCTGCATTCATTGTAGGAAGAGGACCAGGAAGTTTCCCTTGCCATCTCGTTTCTTTTTCAGGACTGATCTCAGCCTGTAGTATCCCTATGGGTTTGGGACAGAACCCCGACACAGCCCCGGCAGAGCAGCCGCGTTGCACTGGAGCGCCCCTACAACAGGCAGTAAAATCAGCTGCTGTCATCAACCTCATGCTCAAACCCACCTGGGAGGCAACAAAAGCCATATTGGTTTTTCTTTACGAAGCTCTGCAGGGATCTGGGTAACTGCAGATAAGGAAATCAGACATCTGCACCTGGCACATCGCAGCGTCTACCAGGAGCAGCGCTAAGCGACGCACGGGCAGACGCGGCACGCCGGGCCCGACGCAGCTGCCGCTTTGCAGAGAAAAAGTCACACCTCGCAGATCCGTCCCTGTTCTCCGCAAGAGCGACAGTCCAACCCCGAAAGCCTGGGTGGCTTTCAACAACCCCCCACCCACCTGATGCTCTTGGCAAAACCCTAATCCACCACAGCGTAAGAGCAAAGTCCTTAAAGTATTACTAATGGGTTAAAAGAGAAGCAGCAATATTTGGCTTTCATAAGCGAGACTGCCAGCAGAGTCCAAGGGGGATTTACACAGGGGCTCTGCTGCTCGGCACACACACAAAAGACTTCACAACAAGGCAAACCTGAGATGACAAAGTTTACCTGGGAGATTTAGCTATTCAGGATAGCAAAAATGAGAGCGAAGAATCCAGAGGGACCTCCCGCCACTGAGCAGCAAGGTAATAAAGTAGTGGAGGAAACAGAGCAGTGCTAAATAACGAAGCGAGGCGCATGGGGAAAGAACAACGCCAACTTCAGCGGTGGGATCTGAATTAGCTGCTACCACACCTGTAAGGGACCTGGGTATTAAGAGTCACAAGAAAACATCAGCTAAATGCTCAGAGCAGTTGTCGAGAAGACCATAAAAGCAGCCATCAAACATCGCGAATTTGGAGGCAAAGAGGAGAGAACAAAAGAAAAGGTAATAACTCTGCCACCGAATAATCCCCTGGTGCAGCTCAACTGCTGCATGCAAAGAGGCATCGTGGAGCTAGAGAAGATGCAGAAAAGGCAAGGATGAACGTCTGGTGTCCAGCGCAGGACAACTGAAGGGGCCAGGAGGAGCTGGAGGAAGGCAGAGGAGGAGGGTGGATGTCTGGCAGAGCCCTGCCAGGCCTGAGGCGTGGCAGCACCTCCGTGCTGGTGGGGCAGCAAGGCAGGGTCACGGCAAGCACCTGCCGCAGTCCCCCTGGACACCCCGCTGTCACGCAAGACCCACCGTTGGCGTCTTCGTAGCCGGGTTGGCTGTGCTGCGGAGGGACGGAGGCACCGGCCTCACCGTCCGGGGGGCTTTCACTGCTGTCGAGCTGT